CCTTCAGGCTTAGAGGGAACATGTTCTGCCCGGTGGTGTAGGGTCCTAATTACTCCAAGTTTGTGTTCCAGAGGGTGATGGGAGTCAAAGAGGAGGTACTGGTCCGTGTTTGTAGGCTTCCGGTAAACTTCGATGTTGAGGTTGCCATTCTCTTCAATGTGCACAGCGCAGTCCAGGAAAGGCAAACAGTTATCCTTTGTGTCTTCCCTGGTGAACTTGATGTTTTTATCCACAGCGTTAATGTGCGCCGTGAAGGATTCCACTTCTTGTCTTTTGATTTTGACCCAGGTGTCGTCTACATATCTGTACCAGTGGCTGGGTACTCTCTCTTTAAAAGAGCCAAGAGCCTTTCTTTCCACTTCCTTCATGTAAAGGTTGGCTACAATAGATGACACGGGGTAGCCCATGGCACAGCCATGTTTTTGTCTGTAGAAACCATCGTTGTATTTGAAATATGTAGAGGTGAGGCAGAGGTCTAACAGTGTGCAAATCTGATCGGGAGTGAAGTTGGTCCTGTCTTCCAAGGAGCTGTCTTCTTGTAGTCGTTTTCTAACAGTCTCCACTGCCTCCGTGGTGGGTATGCAAGTGAAGAGGGAGACTACATCAAAGGACGCCATGGTTTCATCTGGGTCCAGGGTAAGTTTCTGGACCTTGTCGGTGAAGTCGGTGGAGTTCTTGACGTGATGTGGGGTGTTCACCACAAGAGGTGCTAGGACGGTAGCAAGGTGTTTCGAGATGTTGTAAGTGGCTGAGTTTATGCTACTGACAATGGGTCTGAGTGGGACACCTTCTTTGTGGATCTTAGGAAGTCTGTTAATGCAGGGTATGGCATCCCCTGGGTAAAGGCGGTGATATGTAAGGCGGTCAGTGATTTTGTCCCTTTCAAGGTCTTGAAGGCTAGCTATAACTTTCTTTTTGTAGCTGCTTGTGGGGTCTCGCTTTAAGGCTTCGTAGGGATTGTTGTCACTGAGGAGAGTAGTGATCTTCGTGTGGTAATCTGTTGTGTTTAGGACCACGGTGCACCTTCCCTTATCGGCTGGTAATATAGTGATGTTGTGGTCTTTGCTCAGGGAAGCAACGGCCTTCTTTTCTTGTAATGTGAGGTTAGACAAAGGGACTTGAGCACTGGAGAGGGTGGCTGAGACTTTCATCCTGATTTGCTCTGCTTCTGTCTGTGATAATTTATTAATCCGTATGCCGGTTTCTGTGGCTGTGATGAGGTCCACTATCGGCAACTGTTGCAGAGAAATGGCAAAATTGAGTCCTTTGGCTAGTACTTTCTTTTCAGGTTCAGTGAGATTAAGGTCTGAAAAGTTCTTCACCCATTTTTCCTGACTGTC